TATTTGCAGGTGCTGCAGTGGCATGGAAGAGCATGAAACAGCAGTATGTGTCAACCTCCACTATGCAAGCAGAATTCTTAGCAGTTTTTGAAGCTACTTCAATGGCAATGTGGCTTAAAAATTTCATGTCTATGCTAAGAATTGTGGATTCAATACAGAAACCGATTCAGTTATGGAATGACAATACTGCGGCAGTATATTTTGCACAAGGAAATAAGAGATCAAATGGAATGAGGCATTTGCATTTAAAGTTCTTATCTGCGAAGGACAAGATTCGAGATGGAGAGACTGCTCTAAGTCACATTGGCACAGATTTTATGATTGCAGATCCTTTGAATAAAGGGTTGCCTAATCATGTTTTTCACAGGCATGTGGCAAGCATGGGATTGCAATTCAGTTTTGATGCCTAAAGTCAGTGGGAGTCAGTGGGAGCTAGAGTTCTTACAGTTATGTTTTAATTCTGATTTTGTTAACTAGTTTTATCTAGACAGTTTTATTTTGCAGATTTAATTGAATTACTTTTATACAATGTTCTGCATTTGCTATTTATGGATGACAAATAGAACAAAGGGCCAAACTGTAATCATGTCAACATTATGTTTACAGTTTGAATCTATGAATGAGTCATTAAAGATTGTTGAAACCTTGGTAGTTTTGAAGGGTGGGCAAAGAACTGTTCAGTTTTGTCACACATACAGTAAAACCAAAAACAGTTCTTGTTTTTCAATCCAGTTGGAAGCCTTATGTGTTTTGCAGATTCATGTATGTGATTATAAAAGTCTTGGATGTTATATATCCATGTACTTCGATAGTCCTTTATGAATTTTTCAAAATGACAGTGGCTTGATAAAAGGAACAAGAGAATTTTGAGTTCCACATGGCCATTAAGTAATGAACAATAAGTCTAAATTGATTATTTGATCAAGTGGGAGAATGTAAGAGCAACGTTCATATCTGTTCATTCCACTATACCCAATCATATCTGTTGTAAGAGAGAGAAGAGAGATTCTTCTCTAACTGATTTACACAGGACTTAATCCTAACCATTGATCTTATCATCCTATGAGATGATTACACATGTCACAATCTAACACCTTATATCCTAGGCTAGATAAGAGGCCACTTGGACTATGATCCAATGGCTCATATTACAACCAGAAAAATAACATATAAAATTGAAATAAAATTCAAACATAAAGAAACTTTGGCGCCAAGGATTTCAGCTCAAGGGTTACACATCAACATTCCCTTCTAACCCTTTGGCTGATTTCACTCTGAGTAGATCTCTGAGATGCACAAAACATTTCTTTATCTTGACCGGTTTCGTTGTGTGGGTAATTGAGCGCCCCGTCAACCCAGAATTCCAAGGCACACCTTCGCAGCAAATCGGAACCATATTATGCTTTGCCTTCTCAACCCTTGTGTTTGCTCATAGTAAGTGCACGATATCTCACTACTTCTTTCAATTATTCAAGTTTACAGCTAATTAATTTTCAGTCTCTATGAAACAACCCTTGTGTTTTCTGATTAATTAACACAGATATGAGAAAGAGTGGCATTATGAATTATATTTTTCTGGCTGAATTCTCTTAATTCAAAATGATTCCTTGTTCACTTTTAGTCACTCAAATTCCCTTACTCATATCCATTCAGATGAAAGAACGAACTCAATTTACGAATATAGTTGACCATCAGTCTTGAATTAGTTTAGAGTTGATTTGCTAAGATCACCTGGAAATGAAATTTTGTCTTTTTGATGCAGGGGAGAAGTTGTTAAACAATTTAGCAAAGTTTGTAGTGATCGTATGGGGTTTTGCTGTGCTTATATTCACTTCCAGTTACACAGCAACTCTGACATCAATTATGACAGTTAACCAAATACAATTAAACTCAAGAGGAAATATAGGTTACCATTCATTAATCAGTCGGCAAGGGGTAGCGAACATAAAATTCAAACGTTCTTATAAGACGGTTGAAGAATATGCTCTCGCTTTATCAAGAGGAAGTAAGCATGGTGGTGTCTCTGCTATCGTTGACGAGGTTCCGTATATTAAGATCTTCCTTGGACACTATCCTACTGGCTACTCCATGATTAAACCCGAATCTACCACCAATGGTTTTGGCTTTGTGAGTAACTTCCCTTAAATTTAGGTTATGCATTAATCATATGTTGTATTTCCGCTAAAACTAGCAAGATTAAGCATGATATTTTGGCCGCATAACATCTTAACATTTATACTTTCCAATTTGATCCTTGTATTTCTGACTACTGCGGCAGTATATTTTGCACAAGGAAATAAGAGATCAAATGGAATGAGGCATTTGCATTTAAAGTTCTTATCTGCGAAGGACAAGATTCGAGATGGAGAGACTGCTCTAAGTCACATTGGCACAGATTTTATGATTGCAGATCCTTTGAATAAAGGGTTGCCTAATCATGTTTTTCACAGGCATGTGGCAAGCATGGGATTGCAATTCAGTTTTGATGCCTAAAGTCAGTGGGAGTCAGTGGGAGCTAGAGTTCTTACAGTTATGTTTTAATTCTGATTTTGTTAACTAGTTTTATCTAGACAGTTTTATTTTGCAGATTTAATTGAATTACTTTTATACAATGTTCTGCATTTGCTATTTATGGATGACAAATAGAACAAAGGGCCAAACTGTAATCATGTCAACATTATGTTTACAGTTTGAATCTATGAATGAGTCATTAAAGATTGTTGAAACCTTGGTAGTTTTGAAGGGTGGGCAAAGAACTGTTCAGTTTTGTCACACATACAGTAAAACCAAAAACAGTTCTTGTTTTTCAATCCAGTTGGAAGCCTTATGTGTTTTGCAGATTCATGTATGTGATTATAAAAGTCTTGGATGTTATATATCCATGTACTTCGATAGTCCTTTATGAATTTTTCAAAATGACAGTGGCTTGATAAAAGGAACAAGAGAATTTTGAGTTCCACATGGCCATTAAGTAATGAACAATAAGTCTAAATTGATTATTTGATCAAGTGGGAGAATGTAAGAGCAACGTTCATATCTGTTCATTCCACTATACCCAATCATATCTGTTGTAAGAGAGAGAAGAGAGATTCTTCTCTAACTAATTTACACAGGACTTAATCCTAACCATTGATCTTATCATCCTATGAGATGATTACACATGTCACAATCTAACACCTTATATCCTAGGCTAGGTAAGAGGCCACTTGGACTATGATCCAATGGCTCATATTACAACCAGAAAAATAACATATAAAATTGAAATAAAATCCAAACATAAAGAAACTTTGGCGCCAAGGATTTCAGCTCAAGGGTTACACATCAACATTCCCTTTGGCTGCTTTCACTCTGAGTAGATCTCTGAGATGCACAAAACAATCATTGGATAAAGCCTTGGTTAGAATGTCTGCAATCTGATCTTCAGTTTTGCAGTAGATTAGTTCAATCTCCTTTGCTTGAATAGCTTCTCGAATGAAATGAAACTTCCGGCTAATGTATCTGAATTTTTGGTGAAAGACAGGATTCTTTGCCATGGCTATAGCAGAGGTGTTATCACACAAGATTGGTGTGCCCTCCACTTGCTCCTCTCCAAAGTCTCCAAGCACAAACCTTAGCCATTTAGCTTGTGATGTTGCTTTAGCAGCACTCACATATTCTGCCTCTGCAGTGGACAAAGCTACTGTGTTTTGTTTAATTGATGCCCATGAGAACATGCCAGATCCAAGAGTGAATGCATACCTTGAGGTGCTCCTTCTGTCATCTTCACTTCCTGCCCAATCACTGTCACAATACCCTATCAAGGTAGCTGCCTTCCCCTTTTTAAACTCAATTCCAAAATCCAGTGTGCCTTGGATGTATCTCAATACTCGTTTGGTTGTTCCCATGTGTTTCCTAGTGGGATTATGCATGAATCTAGCAAGCAAACTAGGGGCAAACATTATGTCTGGTCTTGTAGCTGTCAGATATAGCAAGCTGCCTACAATCTGCCTATAATCACTCTCATTTGCCATCTCACTACCATCTTCCTTGCACAACCTTTCATTTGCAACCAAAGGAGTTACCACAGACTTACAATCCTTCAAACCAAACTTCTCAATCACCTTCAATGCACATTTCTTCTGATGGAGAAAGATATGTTTATCTGTTTGTACTACTCCCATACCAAGAAAATGGTGGAGTAGTCCAAGATCAGTCATTTCATAATGTTTCATCATGTCATTTTTGAACTCTTCAAGCAACTTTGAGCAACTTCCAGTATAAACAATATCATCCACATAAAGAGAGACAATAAGAATACCTGTTCCTTCATCAGCTTTGATATAGAGTGTAGCTTCACTAGGACTTTTCTTGAATCCTGCCTTGTTGAAGTAGGAGTCTATCTCATCATACCAGGCTCTTGGGGCTTGTTTTAGTCCATACAAGGCCTTATTCAACTTATACACTTTGATTTCTTCATTTTCCTTCACAAAACCCTGTGGTTGCTCCACATAAACCTCCTCCTTTAACACTCCATTCAAGAAAGCAGATTTGACATCCAGTTGATATAGATTCCATTCCTTCTGTGCAGGTAGGGCAATCAAGGTTCTAATGGTGTCTAACCTTCCCACTGGGGCAAAGGTTTCATTGTAATCAATCCCAGGCTTTTGTGAGTAGCCTTTAGCCACTAATATGGCCTTGTTTTTCTGCACAGATCCATCCAGATTTAGCTTTGTTTTATAGACCCACTTGACACCAATAATTGGTTTGCCAAATGGTCTTTCCACTAGTTTCCA